CTCTTTGGTCACCTAGAGCCATACAATGTAAAAATTGAAAAATAACAATACAATATAAATTTTACACAAATTCTATGTGACTATATAATGCATTCTAGTTTTTAAAAAACTGTTTAAAATTATGACTAAAATATTTGACTTTTTTTTTTTTTTTTTAATTTGAGTCTCACTCTGTTGCCCAGACTGGAGTGCAGTGGCCGCTCCCAACCACCGCAGCCTCGAACTGCTGGGCTCTGTCAATCCTTCCGCCTCAGCCTTACGAGTAGCCGGAATTGCAGGTATGCACTACCACGCCCGGCTGATTTTTTGATTTATTGTAGAGATGAGGTCTCACTGCCCAGGCGGGTCTTGAACCCGCGGGCTCAGGCAATCCACTCACCTCAGCCTCCCAAAGGTGCGGGATTACAGGCTGAGCCACTGAGCCCGGCTTTGACTTAGTTTTAAAAATTGTTTGATTCCTTATATTTGTACACATTTATGGGGCACATGTGATATCTTGTTGGATACATAGAAGGTGTAATGATCAAGTGAGGGTATTTAGGGTACCCATCACCCAAACATTTATCATTTCTCCATATCTGGTTATAGATCAAGTACTCTCTTCTAGCTCTTTTGAAGAGTACATTGTTGTTAACTGTAGTCACCCTAATCTGCTGTCCAACATTAGCACTTATTCTTTGCATCTAACTGTATGTTTGTATCCATCAGCCTGTCTTTCTTCACTACTCCCCTGTACACCCTTACCAGTTTGACTTTGTCATTTTTTTCCACACAAAAGTTTTAAATCTACGGTTTTCAGCCTTTTTATAGCAAATTTATTAGTCTTTGATCACTTTTGGTTTTGTGTCTTGCTTAGGAAACCTTCATTTGAAGATTATAAATATCTAATCACCCATGTTTTCATCTGAACTTCCGTGGTTTAATTTGTTTTGTTTAAGCTAGAAATTGGATATCTCCTGGAGAAGCATTATCTTATGTTGCTTTCCCATGTATAATTTAAAAACAAAATACATTTTTCAAACTAAATAATTAATAGTGGCAGAAAATAATGGGAGGATTTTCGCAACTTGTGATAAGCCTTGTCCTGTGCTGGCACGCAGTCACAGATGGGAGAATCATTTTTTTTCTGGTTAATTCCAAATATTGTTTGAAAGTCCTAGTGAAATCATGGTTTTATTCTATAACAGTGCATGTTTTTTCCTCTTTTTGGGTTATTTTTATCTGGTTTTTAAAATGTCCAAATTATTTGCCTTATTAATTTAGAACTTTTTTTAAATTGAGTATATTTAGTTTTATCTAGAGATTTATATAAAGTAATGTTATAACCCTTGGATTTCCTAAATCCAAGCCTCAGCCAAATGTAACATGTCCAGAATGCTTCACAACAGATAAGCAAATTGCTGTGGCCTCATGCTTTGTTGTTGATTTTGGATTGCAGATTTTTTTTTGTAGGCAGTAAAAAGATAAAATGCTATGAAATATTGTAGAACTGAAACTTGACATGTGAAAGCCACAAGTGCCAAATATATGTCCCTTTTCATATTTTTGCTTTTTTCTTTGAAGGTTTTGCCATTGGGAAAGCCACTGAACGGATAGATGCTTTCAGAAAAGTATGTACATTTTTTCTTTGTTGACGCTTAGTAGATGATCTATAGCTTTATGCTAGTCACAGTGGGGACCACAAAACAATAATAATCATTCTGGAACCTTCCCATGAAACTTGCTGTCAAAGATTTTCTCATAAAAAGCAGTTTTAGAAGTTCTTGTATTCCTTTGCATCATCTGATCAAATTTGTGATTGCATACCCAGACTATAAGACAGCTGGAGATGTTGGAAAAAATGACAGAATGTTCAGAGTTACTAAGGAATTGTTAACTTTTTTAGGCTTGATAGTGATATTGTGATTACGTGTTTTTTTTAAAAGTAAGGCCTTATCTTTTAGAAGTATATAATAAAATTTTTGCATAGGTGACATTTTTTATAATAAAACACTCTATAAATGTACTTTTGAATCCTTGAGAAGATATAAATTTTGACAGTAGATTTAAGAAAAACATTTTCCTTCTTTCAGGCAAAGAACAAAGCAATTCACTATTTGCACTACATAGAACGATATGAAGACCATACAAGTGAGTGTTAACGTTAATCTTTCTTTTTGTTTTTAATTTTGCAGTTACATTTGTTAAAGTATGTGTGGCAGTGTATCTCTATAGGTATCTTTGTGTTTCTCTGTTACTGCATTCTTACAAATATATAAAATATGAAAAAAATCTCCTGAGAAGGCTAGTAAAGTCAGTGAAATCAGAGTTAGTCATTCATCCTTGGCTGACATGCCCTGGCATTTTAGGGTAGTACACATTGCTTTGTGCTATTTGTAAGGGCATTACAGCCACACAACTAATCCTTCTTGTGTTTGTTTTTACCCTCCAGTATTCCATGATATTTCTTTAAGATTTAAAAGGACACATATCAAGATGAAGAAACAACCCAGAGGTAACTAAAAACCACTTACCATTTGTTGAAGATAAAGGAGAGAACTTATGACAATTCCATCCTTCTTTGTTTTTGCTCACCTTCATTTGAATTCATTTTGAAAACACCAGAATGGAAGGACCTAGGTTAGAGTTAAGGACGAAGCTCTTGGGGACATAAAGAATAGTCAAGTCACACACAGGTGAGCACAGGTGTGTTCCGGGAGTAATTTTAGGTAGACAGAGCACATTGTGAAGAGGAAATAACAGCTGAGTGAGTAGCAAGGTTTGGATGAGTGGAAACATTAGTTCCTCATAGGTAATTCATTGATGCCGTTAGATGTTTCTATTCTTTTTTTTTTTTTTTTTTTGAGTTGGAGTCTCACTCTGTCGCCCAGACTGGAGTGCAGTGGCCGCTCCCGGCCACCGCAGCCTCGACCTGCTGGGCTCCGGCGATCCTTCCGCCTCAGCCTTCCAAGTAGCTGGAATTACAGGCATGCGCTACCACGCCCAGCTGATTTTTTGATTTATTGTAGAGATGAGGTCTCACTGCCCAGGCTGGTCTCGAACCCGCGGGCTCAGGCAATCCACTCACCTCAGCCTCCCAAAGTGCTGGGATTACAGGCTGAGCCACCGAGCCCGGCTAGATGTTTCTATTCTTATAACTTATTCAGCTCCAGACATTTACTATTCGTCATTAAGTAATGATTGGATATCTTGTGTGAACTAGGTGCTACACTAAGCACTAGGGTTGCAGAGATGGCCCTTCCTGTCTTATGAACAAGCAGACAGGCCGAGTTCAAGGGCATGGGCTGTGGCAGTCTCATGTCCAGTGACTCTGGGTGTGAGATTCTTAAACATTCTGATTTGCATTTAACCTATAGTTCTACAGTAAAAAATGATTTTATATAACTCTAGGTATATAAATCCCAAAATGCCTGGGTCAAAAGAGAGAAAACATTATATTTAAAATTTCATATCAAAGCTTCTAATACAACTCTAATCAAAGCTTGTAATACAGCTAGAGCTATGACATGGAAGTCAATAAAAAAATCAAAGAGTACCAATTGTGTTAATGCACCAAACTTGCCTTCTTTTTTAAGGCCATAGTTAATCATTCAAATGCCTGATAAAAATCAGTTATTTTGTCATTAGAAAAAACTGAGTGGAACACTGGGACATCAAGGTTTAGAGCTGTGCCATCCCAGAGGATAGCTACTAGCCAACCTGGCTATTGAGCACTTCAGATGTGGCCACTGAGATCTACTGTGTCAAATATACACCAGATTTCAGAGACCTAGTATGAAAAAAAGAATGTAAAAATCTCAAAAATATTATTGTATTGATTACATTTTATAATGACAATGTTTAGACATATTAGGTTAATAAAATATTAAAATTATTTTACTTTTAAAAATAATAACAGCCCTGTTTTTAAATAAGTGTCATGTTGGAAGTTAACTAAGTTGTTAAGGGTCACCCCACCAGAAGGTGGTGAGGCCAGAACGTGAACCAGTTTTTCTAAACCCAGAGTCTGAAAGTCAGCTGAGTGACTGGCACCTGCTGCTGCTGTAGGCTAGAGGGCCATGTTTCACTCAGTTTTTTTCCCCCTTTTCTAGGTTATGGCCTCCGGTGCCACAGGGCCATCATCACCATCTGCCGGCTCATTGGCATCAAAGACATGTATGCCAAGGTCTCTGGGTCTGTCAACATGCTCAACCTCACCCGGGGCCTCTTCCATGGGCTCTCCCACCAGGTAACCCTTCCCTGGGGTCTGAGACAAGTTCTAGTTTGTATTTCAGTTGTGTGCTTGAGACCACGAGGCCATGGGGCCTCCTGGATGGAGATGCTCTCCTGGGCCACCTGAGGGCTTGGGAAGGCTTTGCTGATGTGGCTGCATCGGATTAGTCAGATTCACTGAAGAGTTAGTTAACGGCAATTACCTTTACAAAAAGGACTTCACAGATTTTTTTTGAAGTTTTAAAATGAAGTATGTAAAAAAGTCAGTAATTATAGTCTGTGTATTATTATGAAAGAAGCACATGCTTGTTCTAAGGCTCCAACAGTATAGAAATGTGCAATAGAAAGAGAAAGTTATTTCCTAATTGAGTTCTTCCAGTTGGGGTGAGGGTGAGGCACCTAGGGCCCTTTCCGTCAGGAGGGCAGTCGGTTTCACGTGACCTGCCTAGGTGGTTCGAGCTGACACCTGAGGTGGAAGGGACTGTCAACATTCATATGCCAAGTCATTTTTCCCCACAAGTAGGAGCCCTGGGTCACTGCCCAGCTTGTCCTCCCCAGTCCGAGCTCGGCTCAGTCACTCCACAGCAGAGGGGAGGGCCTGGGACTGCTTGGATCGCCCTCCTGGACAGCTCTCCTGCCTGTTCCTCAGCGACGGCTGCCCCTTGAAAGTGTGGGTAGATCTTAGCAGAGATGGATGAGCAGAAAAGACAACCGGGTTCAGCAGGCTTCTTTTGCTGAGCTCTGTTGGTCGACTTTGACAGGCTTCCTGACACTTCAAGAGTGCAGTGGCGGTTTTTGATCGAAATGATCCATGGAATAATTTTACATGTCACTGATTAAAATAGGAAAATTAGCTAAAGGAAAAAGGGGGCTTTGGATGAAAGACCTTTTCTGAACAGCTTTTGTGCATATCGATAATATTTAAAACGTCCTTCAGAGCTCTTCTGAATTCAAACTTATTATTAGAGGTTTAATCGTTTGATGTAACTAAGATTGGTGTTAGGCAGGCTATATCTATGATGCAGGATACTTGTTCTTTTACGTCGCGTTTTTGTCTAATGTTAGTGCTTTGAACCTTCTGATGACCATGCATCATCTCTTCTAAACATGCCATCGTTGTAAAAATTTGCATTATTTAATGTACCACTTGAAAGAAAAAAATGCCACCTGTTTAAGTGATTTGTCTTTGATTGTAAGGTACACCAATTTAAATTATTTTATTTATGAAATAGCTCATCCCTTTTCTAATTTCAAACACATATAGAATTAGAATAGTACACAAGGCAGCCATAAAGTCTGCCATCATGAGATTGGACATATCAGGCATTTGAGTGGACTATGAATAACCATTTACAGAATTTATTTGCCCATTTCTAGACTTCTGTGGGCACCCTCTGCAGTGAATCCCTGTGGTCCTCACCCATCTCATGACCAGTCTTGTTTCTCAGTAACAATCCCCCTGACCCCAGGCCTAGTTATTTTGAACCAAATCTTAGACATCATTTTATTCGTAAATATTTCATTATATATCTCTAGAAAATAAGGATTAAAAAATACAATACTACTATCATACCTATACAATTAACAGTAAGTCATATCATTAAATATCCAATCAGTGTTCATTTAAATATATCCATTTGTTAGATTACAAGCAAAATGTTTTGCACACTTTGTTTCGGGTTGAAAAAAAGGTCAATAGATTTTAAGTAAGATTTTGCTATGTCTTTTTTTTTTTTTTGAGTTGCAGTCTCACTCTGTCGCCCACACTGGAGTGCAGTGGCCGCTCCTGGCCACCGCAGCCTCGACCTGCTGGGCTCCAGCGATCCTTCCGCCTCAAGCCTTCCAAGTAGCTGGAACTATAGGCACGTGCTACCACGCCCGGCTAATTTTTGATTTATTGTAGAGACGAGGTCTCGCCTGCCTAGGCGGGTCTCGAACCCGCGGGCTCAGGCAATCCACTCACTTCAAACTCCCAAAGGCGTGGGATTATAGGCTGAGCCACCGAGCCCGGCTTTTGCTATGTCTTTTTAAGTCTCTTAATCTGTAGGTTCCCTTTTTCTTTGTGATTTTTTTGTTGTTGTTGTTAGAGAAACTGGGTTGTTTGTCTTGTAGTGCTTCCCAGTCTGGGGCTGACCAAATATTTGTGGGATCCTTAATATCTTCTCCTCTTGATTTCCTGTCTGGAGCTCAACTAGATTCAAGTTCACTTTTTGGCACAGCGTGGCACATAATGCAGAGGCTTTAGAAGGCAAGAGACCAGAGGGCAGGGCCCTTCCTCCATCCCAGTATGGAGTGAGGAGCGGGGCCTGCCGTGACTCTGCCCACGAAAGGTCACTGTAATCAGCCACAGCACACATTGCCCAGAATCAACTGAAATGTTGTTAAGATTTCCCCAGGTGAATACTTATTTTTACTGCTGACTTCCCTCTGGCCTATGCAAGTTCTTGCCCTGTAAGTTGTGCACGTACTTTATGGACCTGACCTTTTGTTGTTCTCAATTTGTTTTTGCTCAGGAAACCCATCAACAGCTGGCTGATAAGAAGTGTCTCCATGTTGTAGAATTCCGGGAGGAATGTGGTCCTCTGCCCATCGTGGTTGCCTCTCCCCAGGGAGCCTTGAGAAAGGATCCTGAACCAGAAGATGAGGTTCCAGACACCAAACTGGACTGGGAAGAAGTGAAGGCTGCGCAGGGAATGAAGCGATCCGTGTGGTCGAATTTAAAGAGAGCTGCCACATGACCTTCTCTCTGGCATTGTACAGCCAGTACCTGGTGCTGTCCAGCACCTAGAAGAGACTCAACCCCTCATACCTGGGGTATTGCCTTTTTTTTTTTTTTAAGGAAAGTCCAACCATAACTCCTTTGTTTACAAATAAATAATTATAGCTCTCATTTATTGAGCTTGTGGTATATGCCAGTCAATGTGATAGGAACTTTGCATACATATCTCAGTTTGAGACTACTTTAAATAATCATTTAAGCTAGCAAAAGTAAATGAATTAGGGAGACTGGGCTAATTGACCCAATCGATAATACTATGTACAAAAATAATTGCTATAACAATTATAGCAATATACATTAATTCGTCCAAAATGAATGTTAACTTTATTGTACAGAGCAGGTAAGTAGTTTGACTACATTGAGGAGTTGCCAAGCTCTCTGCCACAGTGGCTGCACCATTTCACATTCCCTTTAGTGGTACACTAGAGTTCCTCCATGTCCTCACTGGCACTTGTGTTGTCTTTGGGTTACAGCCATCCTCGTGGTATGAAGTGGCACTTCAGTGTAGCTTTGACATGTAGCTCCTTAGTAACTAATGATGTTGAACATCTTTTCATGTACTTATTGGACATTTGTATATGATTTTTGAAGAAATAGCTATTCATATCCTTTGCCCATTTAAAAAATTGGATTGTATTGAGTTGTAATAGTTTATATGCTCTAGTACAATCCCCTCACAGATATATGACTTGCAAAAGTCTCCTGACATTCTCTGTAGTGTATTATTATTTTCTTCTTTCTTTCTTTTGTATTTTTGAGTGGGGGTCTCACTCTGTCACCCAGGCTGGAGCACAGTGATCACAGCTTATTGCAGCCTTGACCTCCTGGGGTCAGGTAATCCTTTCACCTCAGCCTTCCAAGTAGTTGAGATTGCAGCCATGCACCAACCACACCCAGCTAATTTTTTAATTTTTTTATAGAGGCAGTTTCTTGATATGTTGCCCAGGCTGGTATCGATTTCCTGGGTTCAAGCAGTCCTCTTGCCTCGTCTCCCGAAGGGCTGGAATTACAGGGGTGAACCACCATGCCCAGCCAATTTTCTTATTTCTTTGAATATTTTTTCAGCCCCACCCACATCCTCCTGGGACACGTATAACACAGATGTTTTGATCTTTTATTATAGTCCCATAAGTCCCCAAGGCTCTGTTTGTTTGTTTTTTTTCCCCAGTCTGTTTTCTCTCTATTATTCAGTTTGAGCAATTTCTATTATTTTATCTTCAGGGTCACTGATTATTTCTTCTTACTTTCCTTTCTGCTCTTGAATCATCCATGCAATATTTTAATTTTAGTCATTGTATATTTTACTTCTATAATTGCCATTTGATCCTTATTTATATCTTCTGTTAATTTGCTGAGGTTTTGTATTTACTGAAAATATCTTTTTATGGTTTCAAGAATGTTCGTAATTGCTTACTGAGGCATTTTTATGATGACTGCTTTAAAATTCTTGTCATAAAGTTCCAACACTTGTGACACAGCGTTGATATTCTTTGATTGTTTTTTCTTATTCAAGTCTAAAATTTCCTGGTTCTTGGTATGACCAAATTTTGGCCGTGTCCTCAGCACCTTCATTGATGTTATAAAACTCTAGGCGTTATTTAAATCTCTTTTAGCAGGCCTCCTCTGACTCATTGGAGGTGGAATGAGGAGTTACTGCCAAGTGAGAGTGGAAGTTCAGGTTTCCTAGTGTGGTGCTCCTCTTGACCTCTGCTGATACCATTCTACCTAACAGTAGGAGCACCCAGTAACACCATGGGATGAAGTGGAGGCCATGGTAGGCTGGATGGTGGTGACAGTTCTTAGCCTGTGCCATCATCAGGTGGGGGTAGGCCTGCCCTCTCTTTTTCTGTGCTATTTGACTACAGTAAGGTAGTTACTGTCTACAACTTTTTTCTCTTGCTAATTTACCCTCCCTTCTTTAAATACCTGAAAACTATAAAGACCTTGAACTTTAGACAGCAAAGGACAATGATCCTTTAGAGATGGGAAGCTAGTAAAATGATCCTTACTGCTGGTGTGGTAGCTCATGCCTATAATCCCAGCACTTTGGGAGATGGAGCGAGAGAATTGCTTGAGCCCATGAGTTCAAGACTAGCCTGGGCAACTTGGTGAGACCTTGTCTCTACAATAAATAAAAAAAATTAGCCGGGTGTGGTGGCATGCACCTGTGGTTCCAGCTACTTGGAAGGCTTGCCTTCCTTGGAAGGATCGCCTGAGCCCAGCAGGTCAAGGCTGTGGTGACTGTGAGTGTGCCACTGCACTCCAGCCTGGGCAACAGAGTGAGACTCTAACTCAAAAAAAAAAAAAAAAATTATCCCTACTTATCATCTGGAGAAAGTCCATGGCTCCAGGAAGTTCTTCTCTTTAAAAAACTGTTGTGTGTGAAAAAAAGTCTTTTCTGTGGACTGGATAAGTCACATACTGGAGAATATATTTTCAAAATACATTTCTAATAAAAAAAACTTGTGCCCAGAATACATAAATAATTCTCAAAATGGTAATTAGAAAATAACCCAATAAAAATGGGCAAAAGAGTTGGGTACTTCACCAAAGAAGATGGGAAATAAGTACATGAAAAATGCTTATCAGCAGGGAAATGCAAATTAAAATCACTAAGGCGTACCACTACACACCTATCAGACTGTCTAAAATTACAGATCATCATGCCAAATGTTGCTACAGTTATGGGACAACTGAAACTGTCATGCATTGCTAGTGGGAATGTAAGATGGTGCAGCCACCTTGGAAAATACTTCGGCAGATTCTTAAAATGTTAAAGAACCACTCGCCATATAACTGGTCATTCCCTTCCTAGGCATGTATCCAGGAGAGACAAAAGCATCTGCCCTTACCAGGACTTGAATATAAATGTTCATCGCTGTTTTATTTATAATAAAAACTGGAAAGTGCAAATGCATATCAACTAGTGAGTGGATACACAGATCATGGTATACCCACACAATGGATTATTACTCAGCAATAAAAAGGAATGAACTGCTGATGCACAGTGTGGCTGAATCTCAAAAAGTTAAGTGAAAGAAGCCAGAGACGTTTAAAAAATGAGCACTCACTGAATGATTTCATTTCTATAAAATTCTAGCAAGAGTAAACTAGTAACAGAAAGCAGAGCAGTGGTTACATGGGAATGGGGGAGGGTAAAATGGGTATGAGGAAGGGATTACAAGGGATGAGGGAACTTTTGGGGGTGATAGATTTTCATTATATTGGGTGCGGTGATGGCTTCACAGTGTATACATATGACAAAACTTACCAAAGAGTACACTCTAAGAGTACATTTCATGCTATTTACACTTCATTAAAACTGTTTTAAAAGTTACAATTACAACCACCAGGGGGCAGGGAGAGCTCCCCAAATACAGAAGTTCCTGTTGGCTAGAGGAATGCTACAATATAGAAATTTCTGATTCTAATAGAAACCCATCTCTCTTCTCAATGAAATAGTTGGCTATTAGAAATGCTTGCTCACTACATGAGTAAATCATTCCTGTTTGAAATGCTAGACATGGGATCTTTAGGGTCTGTGAGTACCTACTAGCGACCTGATTCGAGTTAAGCTTCCAAGTTTGTGCTACAAAGACTGTCTTGAGAGAATCACATCTGCTTCACTTCCTCTCCTGAAGGATTTTCACTCAGCTTTCAGCAGCAGGTCACAACATTCCAACCGAGCTTTATCCAAAGGCTAAAGTGTAAGTCTGGGTTGTGGAACAAGTGTAGGAAGCACATAAGATCTGGGAACTATAGTTTGCACATCGATCTACTTGCTGTGTGACATGAGTCAAGTTGCTTAACTCCTATGCAACCCCCAGTCTCAGCTTGCTGCCAATGGTTAATGAGCTCTTCGTCACAGGAGTGTTGCAGTAAAATCCACACCCACACCCTCTGCCAGGATAGCACCAGCTGAGATTAAATTAAGCATCCTGCTAGGTGAGGAAGTGAGCCAGATTCTAGAGGAGAGACCAGTGACTGATGGACTGCAGGCTACCAATGGCAGTCCAGGGAGTGGCTTGTAAGGTGAAGCCAGCATCTCTCACCAGCCCAGTACCCCTGCTTCTGAGAGGCTCATGTTTTCAGGGAAAGGCAAAACCAGCCAGCGAATAAGACCCGAGCACTAGGCACAGGGCAGAAGCAATGACATATCTTTATGCTGCACAGCAATGTCACTGGCTACCATAACTCTGCAGCCGTGCCTGGCAGAGAGGAGCACCTCTGCCATTTTCTTTGTCCTAAATCAGCGAGTCCGGGCCCTCAGAGACTTGCTCATGACTTTGATGTTGATTGAGGTCCTCATTCTTAACAAGAATAATAATCTTTGCTGTGTATTTATGGACTGTGACTTTAAACTTTTTTTTTTAGCCATGAGCATGCATGGTAATAGCTCCTATCTATCCAGTACTTAACACGTGCTTGACAGTGTTGTATCCACTTGCATACTTAAATTAATCACCCTTGAGCGGATAACACAGATTCACAGAGAACTCACTCGAGATAACACAGTAAGAGTGAGGCCAGGGCTGACACCGGGCAGGCCGACTCCAGTGCCCAGCTCCTAAGGCCAGGCTGCCTCAGGAAGGCTGCGTAAGCTCTTTTATCTGGGAGTCCCAGCGCAGAGGGTCGAGGGGAGGCCCCGAGGCTTGAAGGCCTATAGAAAGAAGGCTTGGGGAGCCCTAAAGAGTGAAGGGATTTTAGCGTAGAGTCTTAAGGGACGAATAGGAGTTTGTGTATGTGTGCGCGCGCGCGTGCAAACTCCGCAGGACGAAAGGTGACACCCGGGCAGATGCGGGGAGTTCCCAGCCCAAGCTGAAGGGGCAGTGGAAGCCAGGCGGGGCCCGAGCCACCCTGGGACACGTGGCGACTTCAGGGCCGAATGG